ATATATTACAAAAGAAGAAATATTACATGCATTAAAAACAATGAAGAGTGGGGAAGCCCTGGACCTGACATGCTTCCTATAGAAATCCTTAAAATTCTAGATGAGAAGCACATTGATGTTTTAGTGACACTCTTGAACCAAATTTATCATCATCATTCAGCCCATACTCGTCCACTGCTGAACATAGGCCTCCCGTAGTTCACCCCACAAATTTCTGTCCTGAGCCGCCTGCATCCAATTTTGATGTGTCCGTTTTAGGTCATCCGTCCATCTTGTTGGTGGTCGTCCTCTATTCCTAAGGGCATCTTGTCTGGGTCTCCACTCAAGAATGCGTTTTGTCCATCTGCCGTCCTTCGTTCTCACGACGTGCCCTGCCCAGTTCCATTTTAAGGTTGATATTCTTTTGATTGCGTCGGTTACTCCCGATCTACGGCGCAATTCTGTGTTGGGTATTCGGTCTTTAAGGGTTAATCCCAACATGGACCGTTCCATTGCCCTCTGTGTTGTTCGGATTTTGTTTGCGGACGTTTTAGTAAGTGTTAGCGTCTCCGCACCATAGGTTAGAACCGGCAGCACACATTGATCGAAGACTTTTCTCTTCAAGCAGATGGGAAGAGCTGATTGGAAAACATCTCTTAGCTTTCCATAAGCTGCCCATGTCAACTCTATTCTACGTATTAGATTAGTTCATTGGTCTGGTTATCTCTACTTAAGCGAATTTCGTGTCCCAGATATTTGTATGCTGATGTTTTTTCTATACTTGTTCCAGCTATGTTGATGTTCTCACTCAGAACAAGGTTTGTCATCACTTGTGTTTTTGAGTTATTGATCTTTAAACCCACTTGTGTAGAGGCATGGTAGAGTCTTTCGCACATTTCGATGGCATGATCTATGTGGTCTGTTATCAGGACTATATCGTCCGCGAACCTGAGGTGACTAAGCTGCTCTCCATTTATGTTTATGCCCTTTTCGTCTAGGTTTGCACGCTTACACATGTATTCCAATAATGTTGTAAACAGTTTTGGTGAAATGGTGTCGCCCTGGCGAACTCCACGATGAATGTTTAACTTGTGTGTATCCTCATTGAGTCTGACGCATGCCGTGGCATTATCATAGATATTTTTGATGACAGTGGTGTAGCGGTGATCTATTCGGCACTCTTTTAAAGCTTCTAGCATTTTCTGGTGGTTTACTGTGTCGAATGCTTTCTCATAATCCACAAATATTAGGACGAGGGGTTTATTGTACTCTATACATTTTTCGATGAGGCTTTTAATAACTTGTAGATGGTCGTTTGTGCCGAAGCCTGACCTGAATCCTGCCTGTTCGCATGATTGGTAAAAGCCCATTTTGTTCGAAAGTCTGTTTATTATGACTTTTGTAAAAAGCTTGTATATGTATGAGATGAGGCTGATTGGTCTATAGTTTACGAGATTTGTTAAATCTCCTTTCTTAAACATTAGAATGATCACTGCATTTTGCCATTGTGATGGTGTTGTTCCTCTTTCAAGGCATTCTGTGAAAAGTATGGAAAGCATTTGTATCAGTTTCTCGCCTCCTAATTTTATGGCTTCGGCAACGACCCCGTCGTCGCCAGGTGACTTATTATTTTTCATTTGTAGGAGAGCTTTTTTGATTTCATCAACAGTAACATCTGGTATGTCTTCCGAGCCCTGGTTTAGAACCTTTGGTATGTTGTCAGTTGCAACATTTTCTTCTGTTTTGCTGTAGAGTTCGCTGTAAAATTGTCCGACAGTTTGTAGATTTCCTGTTTATCTGTTATTATTTCGCCCTTTGTGTTTTTCAGTTTGTAAATATTTTTCTTTCCTATTTGCTGTTTCCTTCTGAAGACTTTTAAACTTTTGTTCTCTTCTATGACTTTTGATATCTCTCCGGTGTTGTAGTCTCTTATATCTTTTCTGATGTTCTTAGTGATTTGTTTGTTTAGTTGTCTCATTTTTGTTAGATTGGTTCTGTATTTATCTGTTAGTTGTCTTCTTTCCTCTAATAGAGTTTTCGTGCTTAGACTTAGTTTTTCTTCGTCTTTTTCGTTTTTTGGGCAGCATTTTTCTTGTGCTTGTTTCAGAGCTTTGACTATTTTCTGGTTTAGTTGTTCGATGTTTATGTTTTCTGTTTCTTCGTTTTGTAATTTTTCTTCGACCGTACGTTCAAACAGTTTTGCATTTTCAGGTGGTACCCATCTTCTAACATTTGGTTTAGGAACAAGCTTCATTCTTTCTTTTTTAACGTTAAGCATTACTTTTGTTCTTATCATCCTATGGTCGCTGCCAGCAGAGAACTTGTTGAGTACTTCCACGTCTTGTATTATATAATTTTTATCTGTAATTATAAAGTCGATTTCGTTTTGACGGCGCCATCAGGGCTTATCCAAGTCCATTTGTTTTGGGGTTTCTTTTTAAAGAAAGAGTTCATTTGAAACATGCATTGATGATGTAGAAAGTTTAAAAGCATGCCCCCTCTTGCATTTCTTGCCCCGTATCCGTACTTTCCTAACGCGATCTCCGCTTGGTCTTGTTTGAATCCGAGTTTTGCGTTGAAGTCGCCCATGAGAACAGTATAGTGTGTTCGTGTTCTTTGTTGTACCAAATTTATAGTTCAGACGTATTACTCAAAGAGTGGTTAATGTCGATTTTTATTTGTCTCCCAAAAAGAAAAACGAAAGAGAATGCAGCGATTACCGCACCATTAGCTTGATGTCTCATGTGCTAAGGTTACTACTAAAAGTCATCTTTAACCGAATATATCACAAACTGGATATAGACGTTAATGACACAATTTGGTTTTCGCAAAGGCCTAGGAACGCGTGAAGCTCTTTTTTCACTTAATACACTGATATGAAGATGCCTGGACACCAATCAAGATATATACTATGTTTTAATGATTATAATAAAGCATTCGATAAAGTACGACATGAACAAAGAACAGAAACAATGTCCTGAAATCAAAGAAGATTGACTACAACGACCTCAGGATCATATCAAATTTATACGCATTGCGTATTGTCGCTAATTCTTTTTAATGTCTACTCCGAAGAGATCTTGAAAAACGCTCTTGAAGGTGAAAGTTGGAATAAAGGTAAATGGAGTTCCCATTAACAACATTAGATATGTGGACGACACTGTGATCTTGCCCGAAAATATTGAAGATCTTCAGAGACTGGTGACCAGAATAGCGAAGTATGGAAAAGAGTAAGGTCTAACAATGAACGTCAAGAAGACGAAATTTATGAGAATATCGAAAACTAAAAGAAATAACGAGAATCTTCTAATAAACGGAACCAACGTCGAACAAGAGGACAAATATGCAAATCTGGGAACAATGATTAACTCCACAAATGATTACATTCAGGAGATCAAAATCAGAATAGAAAAGGCTAGAGCAAATGTCAACGAAATGAGAAGAGTGCTATGTACCAGGGATTTAAAACTGGAACTAAGAGTTAGGTTAGCGAGGTGCTATGTTTTTTCGACTTTATGTTATGAAATGGAATCTTGGACCTTGAATGCGACATCAATGAAAAAACTGGAATCATTCGAGCTGTGGGTGTATAGAAGAATTCTGAAAATATCGTGGATAGAACACGTCACAAACAAAGAGGTTATGAGAAGGATGAATAAAGAAATAGAAATTTTAAATACAATTAAGACAAGAAAATTGGAATATCTCGAACATATTACACGTGGAGAACCCCTTGCTCCGACTGATTATGCAGGGAAAGGTCCAAGGAAAAAGAAATATAGGGAGGCGTAGAATGTCATGGTTGCGCAACTTGCGAGAGTGGTATGATGTACATCAAATGAACTTTTTCTGACTGCTGAATCTTGATTAGAAAGTGGAACTGATGATATTTTCTTTATAGAGGTCTTCATGTCGAAGGTAACCGGATGGCCTCATCTCCTTTATTGAGACAATCTGGGATTTTTTCAATTTCTATGACTTCACATTTAATTCTTGGTTTATAGAAGCGGAGACGGCTATGGTTCTTGAGCTTTCAAAATCAAATTTGGGACCTGTATGAAGATAGTATTGACCTAGAGATGAAATTGAAAAAGCATTTTTTCACATCCAAATATAGTCATTTTTTCACAGATCCGCCCTGGTTTATTAAGCTACTATATCGTAAACAACTAAGACTGGTAAGGCCTAAGAAATACTAGGAATTAATTTTCTCAACCTGAAACCTGAAGCATTAATTCTTATAGTTCGCAATATACCGTTCAAAAATAAACGAGTAGGTATATTAAAGTAAAAATTGAAAAACTCCAAAAGTATTGGTTAGTAGCTCCAACCAGCCTGTAAACGAAATGTAATTGTAATGAAGAGCACAAATTAATAGAAAAATACATATAAGTGAAAAATTATAAATGTTAATAAACTGTTGTTAAAAGTTATAGTTAATTTTTTTTTATTGAGTTTAATGCGTCGACAACTAATGGTCATTGGGATGGTACAGTGAATTTTTACAGTCAGGTACCTAGTGTAGAGTGTAGTGTGTATGTAGAGTAATTGTCTTGATACTTAGCAAAGTCGACGTCATTGTCTTTGCTAAGAGACGCTAATTGTATCCGAACGTCTGCGGTCCCTCTGGTGAGTACCGATCGCACAAGGATAGAAATTATTTTCATTTATTAATTTTTAATAAACGAAAATTTCTCCACCCAGGTGAGATTCGAACTCACCACCTTTAGGTTTAAAGGTAGGCGCTCTTACCACTGAGCCACAGAGGGGGGTATAGTTAAAAATTAGTTTTCATTATATTTCTACTTCATTGTCGAACGGTGAGCTTGAAAAACTAACAGGGACCTTAAGTTTTTAATGGAAAACCTACGTATCTATAAATTGTGCACTTTATATACAATCAGAGAAATAAAATAAAATTTTTATAATTAATAACAACATAAAATAACAAAAAATAATATTCAAAAATAAAACAAATATATATCAAGTTCTTAATAATAATAATAAGTCTCTTAAAAAAATCACCATAAATGTCTTCCTAAAGGGTCTTCTTGCGGTTTTTGGAATAACCACTGATCCGCTTCTAATGTGTCTAGAGTATTATTTAAAACTGCGTTCAGATTCTCGTCATAGGTCAAAAATCTATCAGGATAGGCTACAGAGGTTATTTTTCCTTTGTTGTCTAGTTTCCATTTTTGGTGGTCGTTATTGCTTTTATTGGCCATTACCGGAAGAGTTGGCGTTCTAGCTTCCAGCACTTTACTAAAAAATATGAAGACACTTACAAAAATGTAATAGAATAAAGTGGATAGGCAAATTTTTGTGTCTCGTGAATGCCGATGTTGACAAGAGTCAAGATAAGAGAGCTTTGCAAAATTCTTCCGAAATTTAACAGTTGGGCTATCATTTATTCGATCTGTTTTGTCAATTCACCATAGATCAATATAGCGTACATATTTATTTATTTAGCGTATGGCTACATCACAGGCTCATATATATACAAACAACAGTAAATACAAAAATATTATTCTATAAACAAACATCTAGATTATAAATATATTCGATTGACTCTTTTGTAGCAGCCAGGAAATCCGAAGAGTTGCCGTTATAGGACCTAATCGGGCATTCCTCTACCATGTGTTTTACTGTTTGCCTTTCGGCGCCGCAGTCGCAATCTGGTGATTGTATTTTTCCCCATCTAAAGTCGGAACATCTGCCACAGTTCGTCCTTATTCTATTGAGTGTGGTCCAGATTCGTCTCGGTTGGTTGAAGCCCTCAGGTTTGCTTGTAATACATGGCATGTTCCAGTTATCTGGTGCAGCGTTATTCTCCCATTGTTCTCTCCACCGTTCCAATATAGCGTACAACAAGAAGTGCTTGTTTTGTCAAAATGTGTGTTCTGTACGGACAACGTTCCACGTGCTTCGCCCCTTTAGCGCTCTTGTTAACGACAACGGCCAACGGGTCGTTTTTGACACCGTCCCGTTGGCCGTTGCTCAGTGTCTTTCAGGTTCTTATGAATGTTAGTTCACGCAACGGCAACCAACCCGTTGGTTAACTTTTCACCGTCTACGTATCTCGGCATAGGTCCCCCTCGGCAAGACGTTCGAAGGGACGGTGCCGTGATCACTCAGTGAACTATTTTAGTTTATGCCAGTGTGTTAACGGCGTTGGACGAGCATCCGTTGTTTCAATAAATTTCTTTCTTTGTTGCCGCTAAAATATGGATTTTGATATGGAGATTTTAATAAGTTATTTCACCAATAATTTTTATTTTATATATAGATTTTATATTCTTAAATGATAAAAAATCTATTAAGTTTGTAATTTTTTTTTTTAGTTTTTTTTATAACCGAAAGTTTTTATTCTGTTATACTAATAGCATAATTCATACATAATGTAACAGCTAGTCGATCAGCAGGTGCAAGGGATAGCCTCATATTAGTGTCAGCACGTTTTAATTTATCATGTACTATTCCTAACAATTTGCGAAAAGTTTCTTGACCTATTCGGAAGTAATTGAAGAATTTTGTTTCGTCTTTTTTCAATTCTTCGTAAAGTGTATGAAAAGCACCATACTTTTCTCTTTCTAACAAAATAGGATGTATCCATATTTTTCTTTTACGCTTCTCCCGTTGCTTCTGCATTTTTATACAAATAATAGGCTATAGTTTATTTTTATGAACGAGAGAGTATTTAGCATAATTTTAACTGGTACCTCCGACCACTCCATGGGCGTGCTCAAGATTAATTGAAAAATTACTTTGAATAATTATAAAAAATAAATGAATTATTTCAGTGTTATAAAGTGTTATGTGTATGTAAACAAAAGTGACCTCTTTTATCACACACTATATTAGAACTGACTGGCCTACAATAAAAAGGGTTTTAAAAATTTCACATTTTTTTTAATTTTTAAAAATTACAAAAGAGAAAAAGAGTTTTTAAAACCGTCTAAGGTATGTTAAATAGATGAATAAAAATATTAATATAAAACTTACAGCTACTTGTTACAAATCCAAATCAGATTTAGGAGATGAACTTTCAGAACCAAGATTTATAATAACTGGCTCGATCATTTTATCAGTAATATTGTCCAGCTTCCACATTTTTTCCTCTTCTTTAATAGTGTGATTTACTGCCTTTTCCCAGTTTTCAGGTTTTACATTATTTACGGCCTCCAAAAACAACTGTTTAACATCATGAATTTTAAAAGTGGTATTTTTTCTAGAAACTTCACTCTTTATCTGTGCCCATACCAGTTCAATCGGGTTTAATTCACAATGATATGGTGGGGATCTAAGTACTGTCATTCCACGATTTTTGGCAATTTCATCAATTTCGTATTTTTTAATTTTTTCTTTATGAAGGGCACACAACGAATAAAGTTCCTTTCTTATAGATCTGGGATGGTACGTAATATTTTTTGAACTCAGCCAATTCTGCAAGTCTTTTTTTAACCACTTGGTTGTGGGCAGTCCTTCTATAAGTCTGGAGTGATAACTTGCATTATCCATTACTATTACACAGTTCTTAGGAAGAAGATCTATCATTTGTTCGAACCATTCTTGAAAGACATCAGCGTTCATGTCTTCATGGTAGTTATCGGTACGAGTTGATTCAAAAGTTAATAAACCACCTTCAACAAAACCGTCTGAACTGCCAATGTGTACTATTATCAGCCTGCGTCCCTTTCCTGATGGTGGGTTTAAACCAGTAGATAAGTTATTTACAAAAGCGTGCCTACAGTTTCATCCTGCCAAAATTTATTTGGTGTATGACCCTCGTTGATCCATGTTTCATCAAGATAAAATATTTTTCTTTTTTGGTTTCTCATTTCCTTTATGGTTCTTAGAAAATGTCTTCTCCATATGCCAATATGGCTTCTTTCTAATAAAATAGACTTTCTGGGATTCTTTTTCCAGCGGAAGCCTATTTCTTTTAAAAGTTTCCATAACGTACTTCGACTCATTTCTGGGTAATCCTTATCATCTCGAACTGAGACAAGAACTTTTTCCAATGTTGGAAATTCTTGTCTAAAGAAGAATTCATGCACTTTCCGTCGAAGTCCTTCTTTAAAATGATATTCTATTTGAAATTTTTGTTTCCATGGAGCATTACGTGGCATTTGAAAACTACCACATTTCTCTTCTTTAATAACTCTGTAAATCGTAGATTTCCCAACACCAAGTGTACTGCTAACTAACTCAACGGTCTCATCAACACTTTCACATAAACGTGTGTCTGTAAATGATTTAAAACAATTAAATATTAATGTTTTTTCATTAACTGTTAAAGGACCAATTTTTCGGCGTTTACACGGCACTTCCAAATTTTCCATAACACTAGTAAGTATACACAATAAACTGCACCTTGCAACTGAAGTACCTACTTTTAGTGAACTGTTAAGAATTTTGAATACGCCACTTGGAGCTTCCTACAAAATGGAAAAACCCACTATCACATTTTCTGTGGAATAAGTTTAGAAGGTAATTATCTAGTCAATTACTGTCGTAGATTCCTGGAATTAAAGAATTAAATGTTTGATTGTTGAAACCCTTACTTCGTGGAATGAACTCATTTCAGATAAAATAAAACGTTTTATTTTATCTAAAGAATTAAACTTTATTTTGCAAATAGGTAGGTACTTATTAAACTTTTATTTGTTATATATAACCAATAAAATAAACATCTTACATTTCTTGCAAATTCATAAGTACCTGTTAACCTCCATCACTCCGACACTGGCAACCTTATTTAGGGATTAGTAACCCTCACAACTATTGTATTCTATTCTGCTCCAACCTTTATACCTGGTGGTCATACTCAATTTAAAATTGTTTTCCTATATACTTCTGTAAACTTGTTGACAAATATCTGTTTTTCATTGAGTCACCCGTATCAACAGTTTAGGGATTTGCATACATAATTTATTGTTTTATTACTCTCTTATACATAAAAATACACTATAGTATATTTTTTTATACAAATAATATAAATAAAGGAGAAATATCTGATGATATTTAAAGCATTGGGTTGAAGCAAACATTGTGATAAATATGCAAGCTTTTCTGCAATTTTGAGTTTAGCTCTATTTAGAAGCTTATGGATAATGTTGGGATCATTATTGAAAGCAATTTGCTTGAGAATATTAAGTTCTAAATTGAAGTTATCATGATAAAGTGGAAATTTGAGTAACCTATGAATTTAACTGTTAAAAGCAGCCATTTTATGTTGGGTTGGATGACTAGATGTTTCATGTATAACATGATCTGTTTGAGTAGGTTTTCTGTAAATATTGTACTCTAGAGAATCTTTATTAAGAGATATAGTCATATCCAAGAAGTTCAACTTATTCTCAGATTCTGGTTCCAGTGTAAAAGAGATGTTAGGATGGAGGTTATTAAGATCATCCAGAATCTATAAAGCATCATCTTGGGTTCCCTGTATGAGAGCTATACAATCATCAACATATCTTGACCAAAAAAAGTATTTTGCTGTTGTTGTTAACAAATTTCTGCTCTAAGCTGTCTAAGAAAACATCAGCTAGAAAAGGTGATAATGGAGATCCCATCGTTAAACCTGTTGGTTGTTTGTATATTTTTTGATTAAACTGGAAGAAGTTCTGATCAAGACAATATTTAAACATAGTTAAGATAGCATCTTTGTGTTTTGCTGGTATGTTGCAATTGTTTAGAAGGTTGTGTACTAAAGGAAATGTTTCATCTCTTGGTACAGAAGTAAACAAATTGGAAAGATAGAAACTAAATAAAAACTCTCTTCTATTTTAATGTTATTTAAACTTTCTATTAGATCTAAAGATTTGTAATGGAGAACTTAGGTTTAAAATTAGTAATAGACTGAATTGTGTTGTAAATAAACTTTGATAAAATAGAAACTGGAGTGTTACAAAAACTTACAATAGGCTTTATGGGACAATTGTGTTTATGCATTTTAGGAAGTCCATATAATCTAGGTGTTATAGGATTAGATACAGTTAACTTTCTGTTGTTATATTTAGTATATAATAATATCATTAAACAATTTAGCCATTGCTTTTGTTTGATTAATAAGGGTGTTAAATGGATTTTTGTCCAAAACTACAAAATTCACGTAACACTTTTATTAACTTTACTTATTACTTATTATGTATTAACTTAGTTTCTAAGTTATTAGTTTATTTTTATTCTTTTATATATTGTATTTAGTTACCAGAAACACCTACTTAATTAATTGATGGATTCGACCGTTACTTGATGGAAATTCATTTTATGTAACAATAAAACACTGAAAACTTTGTTTTCAAACTTCCACAAAATTTATTTTAAATATTATCACTACAGCTGTTTCGGCTGATTGCCTTTCTCAAGTGATCTATTTTGGCTTGGGTTTACAAATTTATAGTCTCTAATGAAATAGGTTGAGGAGGGGAGAACTGTTTGTCTCAAGTTATAAAACAAGATAACACTCAAATAACACAGATATACTCATAACACATAAGATAACTCAAAAACACAGATATAATTCTGAATGACCAACTTGAGACAAACAGTTCTCCCCTCCTCAACCTATTTCATTAGAGACTATAAATTTGTAAACCCAAGCCAAAATAGATCACTTGAGAAAGGCAATCAGCCGAAACAGCTGTAGTGATAATATTTAAAATAAATTTTGTGGAAGTTTGAAAACAAAGTTTTCAGTGTTTTATTGTTACCTACTTAATTGCTATTATTGCCTTTAATTCTTATTCAATTGACGTGTTGTCAAATACATGGGTATCCATGTATCCAAATACAAAGTATTTAAAACTGGAGCGTTGTTCGAACTCATTCCAGTCCATAGGAATTCATAGCTGGGTCACAGTATAAAGAGGTTCCACTTGGAACCTCTTATACTGTGGCTGGGTACATAAATTAATGAAAACTGCATTTAAAATTAAAAGTTAACTTTTTCTTAATTTTAATTTGTGTATAACAGAAATTATTTCGTCAATTAATATTTATCTACAAAGCAGAATTTTTTTTGTATGGCTATTCGGATTGAAAATAAATTTTTCAAACTGTTATTTTACAATAAAATGTTGATATTTGCCGCTGTGTGAGTTTTCATATTTTGTTGTACGTTGATCGTTTTGTATTTTCACGTGGAAACATTAATTATCCATGACACGAAAGGATGAAAACTACTGTCAATATTTTTAAATACATTTTAAAATAAACGTAGTAGTTTTATATTTACAAATAATTTCTGTTTATGACAGGAAAAAATATTTTTAAAGATTAAATGAATTATCTACTAAACAAATCTAAAATGAAATATGAAATTTCTAAATTTGTGGAAAACAAAAACATTTGAAAATACGGTAATATTATATATTTCGTCGATGTAGCTAAAAGCAAACCATCGTTAATATGCAGTCCGTTTACATGGGACTTTAACGCTTTCGATTATTCGCAAAACAATTAATTTTTTTGAGACAGTCACCCCCAACTAACTTCCAATCACAACCCAATCAGCTTGTACTGGGAAACTTTAACAATCACAGTTTACTCTGGGGCTATGCAGATTCGGACGCAAATGGAGAGGCAGTAGAAGCATGGGTTGAAACGAGTGACCTCACGTTAATCCATGATCCTAAACTTCCACCATATTTTCAGAGCAAAGTTTGGAAAAAAAGATATAAGCCGGATATCTGTTTTTCAAGTAACAACGTCGAAGACCGATGTATCAAAGTAGTATATGGCTCTACACCAAAAATTCAGCATAGACCAATTGGTATAAATATCTTTCCAATTGTCAGACCACAAGCTATTCCATTCAGAAGGAAATTTAACTTCAAAAAGGCAAAAGTATGCCGACATGCTAGATTCTGAGCTGCTACGTCTTGGACCAAAAGTAGAGAACTACGAAAAATTTGTAGAGGTACTCAAAAATGTGTCTAGAAAAGCTATTCCTAAAGGATGTAGACACCAATATGTTCCTGTACTACTCCAACAGCTAAATCAAGCAAGATAGGAAAAGTGGATTGAAACCCTGGAAAAAATGGACATGACACATAGTAGCAAAATAGCATGGAACCTTGTAAAAAAAAACTTAACAGTGATACAAAAGAACATAAACTTCTTGCAAAGTTACAGCAAACCAAGTCGCTGCTCAACTCAAACTACGACCCAATCACTATGGAGAAAATTGGATTCGGAGACAAACCACCTAGGAACTCCTTTTATACTAAAAGAACTCCACGACGGCATGAACAGGTTAGAAAATGGAAAATCTGCAGGTGTGGATGATATAAGCCGTGAATAAATAAAGCATCTAGGCCAAGGAGAAAAAAAAACTGGATCTTGCAATTTTATAACACGTGCTACAAAACCTGTGAAATTCCAAAATCGTGGAGGAAATCTAAAGTAACAACACACATTACATAAGCATTATAAAAAAATACACAAAACTGAACTATTCCGATTGAGAACGATTTCCGAAGTGGAAATTGAAACGTCAATAAACTTACTACTTTAACCTTTAATTGTGACTAATTCCCATTTAAATAGTAATTACATTAAAATGGCACAAGAAAATAGCTTCAGAACAATATTAAGAAACCGTTATTGTCCCAGCGGTATTCAAAATTTTCGGAGATTGGAAATTCTTTACAAGAAACTGGCACATTGTCAAAAGTCAATCAAATTTTTACGTAGATGTATTGACAATAACCTAATACCAAAGAGCTTGAAGTTACGTCCAGCATATTCAAGTAGAAGGTTGGAAAACATTCTACATAGAGCCAGTTTTTCCATAATCCGCGAAAGTGGAAATTGAAACGTCAATAAACTATTCCGAGGGTAAAAGTACCACCCTCTGATTTTTTCAACCATAAGCATGCTGTTGCCTACGAGATCAATGCCACGTAAGTCAACCATCAATTTTGAAAAATATAACCTACTAACAACAACTTATTGGTTACATATTTTCGCAGAATTTTTTTAAATATTCTTTTTTTGAAAACTATTTCAGGAGTTGAAATCGAAACGTCAAAAATTAGTTAATTAAAAATGTAATTTTAGTTACAATTAATTGTGGTTTAATCTTAATCCCATATAAACATAATTTATTTCACTTAGACATGCCACAAGAAAACAGTTTCAGAGCAAAAATCCACAATCAACAATTTGGGAGAAAAAGTAAAGAATGAAGTGACTATGCATAGTTCGGCAATTAGATAACTTACCCATTTCCTTCATTTACAATAAAGTAAATATCAGAATCATTTTTCGCTGGGGTGATATTCCATACCATAGTACCATCCTCATCGTCAAAAAAAGTGGTTGTAACTTCGTCATTTTGACTGCTCAACACCAAACTTGTGTACTTGTTTTTTATTGCCACTCCATTTTCAGCTAGAATATTTTGCAATTGTTTATGCTGTTAAAGTTTTTTGGACGCTAGACGAATAAAAAAATTAAAGGAAGTAATACACGAATCAGTAAAAGAATCATATGGGATTAAGAATATAATGAACAATTAAAAGCGAATCAGTGGACAAACTGAGTAAAAGCGACTATTACTGATAAAAAATAAGTATAAAAAAGATATGTGCAAGGCAAAGGTGACAAAGGACTATATAACAGAAGCAAACAAAATTACCCAAAAGGGCAGTAAGTAGTGCGAAATAAAGAGGCAACTGGCAAAAGTTTGGGAGCAACTTAAATGAAAGTTATAATAATAATAATATTAGATTCTTCAGTAATCGGTTCAAAGCATTAAAAGGGCAAAAGAAAACAGAAATATACGGCATAAAAGATGGAAATAACAAGATGCAACATAAACAACACGAAATGGTAAAAGTTTGGAAAACACGTCTGGACACAAGCTTAAAATCAAATAACAGATCAAGCAAGCTCAAGGGAAGAAGAGAAAAGGGCATGGAGGATAGAGAAAAAGAAGGCATTGAAGCATCAAAAGAATTAAAAACGGGGAAAATGGAATAGAACCAAAAATGATAAAATGCATGGGCCAGAAATCCATAAACTAGTTCTGGATCATACGAAACATTGAAGCAAAATAACATACCAAAAGATTAGAAAAATAATCTTTTTTTACTAATTTATAAGAAAGGGGAACAGAACCAATTGGGAGAACTATAAAGCGATATATCTAAAATCATAAAGGATAAAGTAATACCCGAAACTAAAAAAAAAACCAAAAAGAAGAACAAACGGCTTTCAGAAAACAAAGACAAACAACAGATAACAACTTGATAAATATTTAAAACAGCTAAAAACTCCGAGTAAACTAAGCAGTAAAATCAATACATGAAAATATTAGAACACAAAATGCAAATCAGGGAGAAGATCAGAAGATTTCCTCCTAGAAAGAGAAGTAAAACAAGAAGATAGCCCTGAGCTCTATACTATTTACAATAATTATGGATGGATTAATAAAGAATATGAGATCTAGAATGAACACTGTCTGGGGTGATTGCCAGATAGATTGAGTAGCTCTGAGGTAACCACAGTCGGTCCCAAGCCCGGATAAAATGTGAAGGATGATTGACAAGATTAGCAACCTACCAATTTTCAAAACGAATACTGCTCAAAGAAAAGTCGAAGGACTAAATACGGAATCCACGGAATACTTATACAGAAAAAAAATATTAGAGAAGATCGCTGGGAATAAAATATTGGAAAATGATAACAGCGAGGAAAGCTGGGAAAACTAAAAAATAACATAATTAACGCAGGAACAGAATCACTTGAAAGTAACGAACACTAACATATCAAAAAAGAAAACACCATGGTTTAGAGAGGAAGTGAAGAAAAAATGTGAAGAAAAGAAGAAAGCGTTTTTACAATATAGAACACAGCAAACACAACAAGCATATAACTACGATAAATGAATTAGAAGTGAAACGAATACTTTAGTTAGACAAATAAAAAGGGAATACTGGTGGAGCTTCTCAAAAGAGATGGAACACGACTTCTACCAAACACAAAAAGAAATATTGAGAATGATTAAAGGACAAAGAAAAGAGATTAACGAAATAATAAAAACGAAACACATTTAGAAGAAAACATGGGTAGAATACTTTCTATTCCTATTTGCTAAAGGTGACAATAGAAAATGTGGAACTACTTAGGAACTATAGTCAATGCGTCGTATACCCAAGAGATTAAATTTCGCATCGGAAAGGCAAAGAATGCATTCTTGACTATAAGTTCTGTGTTCAAGAGCCATGACTTCACCCTAGAAACAAAAATAAGGCTCCTTAAATGTTATGTGTACTCAGTGCTTCTGTATGGAGTAGAAACGTGAACATAAAAGGCGAAAAGTCTATCAAAACATCAGGTTTTTGACCTATGGTCATACAGAAGGATCTTGAAAATACCATGGACAGACAAAGTCACCAATGAAGAAGTCGGATTTGGTCAACATAGTGAAGGGTCATAAGCTGCAGTCCGTGGAACATATAATAAGAAATCAAGGCAGATAGGAGCTACTTCAATGCATTTTACAAAGTAAAATTGAAGGAAAAAGGGCCCCAGGACGAAGAAGAATATCCTGGCTTGCTAACCTGAGAGCATGGTATAGAAAGACCTCAACACAGATATTTCGTATAGCAACCAACAAAGTCATCATATCTAGAATGATCGTCAACGTTCGGAGCGGACAGGCACTCTAAGAAGAAGAAGAAGTCAATAATGAACCACCAACACCAAAGGTGACGACAAACGAAGAAATCAATATTGAGGAGGAAGAGGTAAATTAAGCATTAAGAAAATTAAAAAATAGAAAATCACCAGGAGAGGACAGAATACCGAATGAACCGAACTCCTAAAGTACGGAGGACCAGATATGACCAAACAACTATTAAAACTAATCCAAAAAAATAATAGAACAAAACAGAATTCCTCAAAATGGAGATCAAGCATGCTTATACCTTTTTTTACAAACTTATAGAGAAATAAATTTATTAAACACAACACTAAAATTAACAAACAAAGTGATGAACAAATAAACTGAATGCAATTATATCACTAGCAGAACAACAAGATTTTAGGCCGGGAAGATCATGCACCGACGCTATATTTATAATAAGGCAAGTGCAAGAAAAATACTAATACTAAAATAAATACCAAAACAACACAATAAAAATAAAAGTGGAACAAGAACTAACCGAGCCTATTGAAGCTGGCAATGGGATAAGAGAGGGAGATTTCCTGAGTCCTCTATTGTTCAACATGATTATGGTTGAAATAACAAAAAAAGTGAAAACTAAAAAGGATCCCCAATGAGAAAAAAAAACAACTTAAAATAATCTCTTATACAGACGACGCAATACTACTTTATCAAAGTAAAGATGATTTGTAGCGTATGCTGCACCAATTTAATATAACCACCAGAAAATTTAACATGTTAATTTCTCCAAAAAAGACAAAATGCATGGATATAACAGCAAATCCACCAAGATGTAAATTGGAGCTGGTAGGTCAAATAATATAACAAGTGATGGAGTTTAAATATCTAGGCATCACATTATCTAGCTACGGAAAACTCGGAACTGAAGTGGAAGATCAAGCGAATAGAGCAAATAGAGTCGCAGGTTGCCTGAATGAAACAATATGCAAAAATAAAAATATCGGAAAAGAAATGAAAGGCAGAATTTACAAAACAGTCATCAGACCAATAATGACATACGCGGCAGAAACATGATCTGACACAGAGAGAACAAAAAGGATGTTAGAAACAGCAGAAATGAAAACACTTACAATTGACGGCAAGACACTATAGGAAGAGCTAGAAGTACAGATGTACGACGTAGATACAAGGTGGAGAGCATCAAGAACTGAGTAAGAAATAGAAGAGTAGAATGGAGCGATCATATTAGCCGAGTTACAACAAATAGAGTAGTAAAGACGGCAAGAGACGGTTCTCCAATATTAAAACAATCAGAAGGACGACCACGAAAACGATGGAACGACAACTTACTGGAGGCACATTGAAAAACAAAAATGAGTAAAAACATGTTAATATAAAAAGACTAGAATGAGGTTCAACACGAGATCTAGAACATAGACAATCACAGCAAGATGCAAAAATTAGTAACCATATGGTCTTAGAGAAGTTGAAGATGATAATAAATATCAAACAAGCAAGATAATAAGTTTTAAAGGCAAAAATGCAAAGACAATAACATAAAAAGGACAAAAACTAGAGGGGGTCTCAATATTTGAATATTTAGGAAGTATCTTTTCAAATGATGGAAAATTCGATTTGGGGAAGTAAACAATAAACAAAAAAGTTTAATTACTAGTACATAACATGAATAACATACCAATTACTAATAGTGACATATACAAGTGAAAGCTGGCTATTAAAAAAGATGCATGAAAGTTAAATAAATGCTATTGAAATAAACGTATCGAGGAAAATCGCATACAACACAATACACTAATCGAATCAGACATGATCAAATAATACGCCATAATGATCAAATAATAATAGATCAAGAATCCATATAAGTAAAATAACCAAAAAACAATTGAAATAGTTTGGGCACACACAGAGAATGGGAGACGAAAGATAGTTAATGTGAATATAATATATAAAAGAACAAATAAACAAAAGAGAGGACGATCAAGAAAAGGTTAAATGAGAATAGAAAAGCAGGTAAAGCCAGAGAAATGAACTAAACACAAATTAAATTGTTATCGAGAAATAAAAAAGAATGGAAAAAGAGAGTAGACATTACCGCAACAAACAATACGACACCTTAGGGGGTAAAAGGAGTTAAAAAATATAGTGAAAACCTAGTACATCAAAGATTATTGAAACAAAAAGAATGCAAACGATTATGTTTTTAGGTATTTGGTGGAATTAATGAACAATGTTAACTTTAACTGTTATGCTATGAATTGTGAATTATTCAAATTCTTACCCTCACAAGTAACCAATCTTGAAAATGTGGTTATAGTTAAACCTAAAATAAAAACATTGATTGGTAGCCTAGACATTCTTTTAATAGTTGTCAAACTACTTTGTAATAATTAAATATTATTTCTTGATGCTAATCATTCCATGTGGGAGGTAGAGTTGATAAGAAAATGTGTATAATCTTGTTTAGATATGTATTGTATTAATTGAATTTGATGTTAAAAATGTATAAACATAATATATGCCGCGTAACCACCGGGTATATGGCGTACAATGGATGTGCGTTATATAGCAGCGGAGAGAGGGTGAAAGGCCAGTTTCTGGCGCCTTAATACTGGAACATTTCGACTAAGGGAAGAAACAACTAACGGAGAAACTTGGTCCTCCAAGCTTGGGGATTGGAACAATGGACCAGTTCCTCGTCATCTGGAAAAAAGTTGATTGTTATTGTTGATATTTTAGAAAATCATAACTTTTATATTTGGATATATAAATGATTGTATTTTATACCTTTTCATCCCCTCATTTCAGATCTTTTCTGACACATTTCTAGTTTTCAACATTTGTTTGCTTACAATACTATCCGTTACAAAATAATTCGGATGAAATTCCCCAAATGAAGAGACTGGACCGATATCAAGCACACAATGACTGTGCTCCCTTATTGCTGTAACGAATAGTCACCCTTAGGCTTTCGTTACATTAGGTTCAATTTTAAATTATGTTTAAAGTTTAAAGGTACTATACTATACTATATTATATACTCAGAAGAAGTATTTAAGACAGCGTTAGAGGAAAGCACAGAAGGCATAAAGATAAATGGAGAAATAATTAATAACATAAGGTATGCTGATGACACTGTGATTCTAGCAAGTAGCATGGAGGAACTGAGTTGCCTAATGACTAAGATACAAAAAACAAGTGTACAATACGGACTCAGCCTAATATCACAAAAACCAAATGGATGTTAGTAAGCAAAACCCAACAACCACCACAGCAACTGATATTAGACAATGAAAGAATTGAACACGTGGATTCGTACATCTACTTGGGAACAACAGTTAACTCAAATTGGGATCAAGCGAAGGAAATACGTATAAGAGTAGAAAAGGCAAAAGCATCGTTCACTAGCATGAAGCAAATTTTTACCTCTAAAAATTTTACCCTACCTCTCAAAATTCGACTTCTGAAATGTTATGTATTCCCGGTTTTGTTATATGGAATGGAGGCGAGGACAATGACCGCAACATTGATGAACAAAGTAGAGGCCTTCGAAATGTGGGCTTACCGACGTATATTACGTATATCCTGGACTGAGCACGTGGCCAACGAAGAGGTACTACGCCGGATAGGTAAAGAGAGAGAGGTAGAAATAAGTATAAAGAAAAGAAAGTTGGAATACTTGATACGTAAAGAGAGAGAGGTAGGAATAAGTATAAAGAAAAGAAAGTTGGAATACTTGGGTCACGTTATGAGACATAATAAATATAGAGTACTACAGCTGATCGTTCAAGGGAAAATAGACAGCAGAAGGGGTCCAGGGAGGAGAAGACACTCGTGGCTCCAAAACTTGCGGCAATGGTTCGGATTGTCATTTGCTGAACTCATGGACGTATAAATACAGATGGACTCAGTTATTTACATAAAATTATGAAGTCAAAATTATTTGAATAGGTCACATTCTCAGCACCTTCAACTGTTGTCACGTTTTGTTTTAAAATTTTTTATTCGCGAGTCGCTGAAAATATTACTCCGTATTTTATACTCTACAGGTGCTATCAAACCAAAATAATAATTTATTGGTTAGATTAATATATTTAATTGTAATCAAAATATAAAGTGTGCACATAGTGTGCATTATCATTTAATAATAGCGTATAATAGATATCAATCAATTATTTTATATGTAGAAGCAATGAAAACTATTTATAAATGGCAACGGTTGTTTACATTTCTCTGTCTTATAGATCTACGTCAAACTTCAAATGCTGTTCCATGTTTGTTTACTTTTTAGTCAAAGTTGTTTTTCGATATTTTGGCTGTATTTTGAGTGATATTTGTGAAAAGTGAAATAAAATAAACGAAATATTTACATCCCGATCTCTCATTTCATTTGTAAGTACATACAATTTACATTATTTAAGATGAGGAAATGAGGAAGCGTGTTTGTTTACATTTTAATAGGCGTACCATTGGGTTTATTCATGTTCATTAATGTATTGAATAAGATATAAGTTCATGAAATTAGTAGACATTTTTAAATTGTAAGTAGACATCATCTGATTAAAAAAGATCTGTTTAGTACCTTTTTAAAACGTGTTTTTATACATTATTACTCCTTCCAATTTTCAAAATCTGAATAATTACCCGCGAGTAAAAAGTCAAGCACGCTTATGCTCATTGCGGAAGTATCACATTCTATGAAAGCTTCAAAACATTGTGTGTTAAAGGTATCTTATTGCTGTGTCCATCTATGTTTATACGTCCATGGCTGAACTATTCAGATCTGCCGTAAACAAAGTCAGAATAGCCATGTTGATTGCCAACGTTCGGAACGGAAAAGGCACATGAAGAAGAAGATTATATGATACAAAGTAGGTCTAGCCAGGTACGTATTTTAATTTTGAGTTGTTAACGATTGGTAAATAAATTTTTTTACACATTCTTAGATAGACAATCCCAACTAGAAAATGATGCTTCGAAGAATCAAAAAGAAGACAAAAAGATGCTTATATGGGCATTATAAAAGTTCCCACTATGTAATAGCAGGAACGGAATTTCAAAGATAAAGGAAACACGTTACAATCAACTGCTAATATGTAAAGAATGCGACTGCACATCATGACAAATAATTAGTACAGTCATTAGTAATCATTTTCTAAAACTTTCATCTAAACTGATAAAATCAGATTTGTAGAACGTGAAAACACTCGATACCACGTAGGGCGAATTCTCGTCCCACATACATTTCTGCGAAATCCGACAACAATATTTAAATTTCTGTTCTCGGTATTTTGGGTTTTATTATTTCTTTGTACTCTTAATACATCAACTACCAATGTCCTAAACCGTCAAAGCCATTGATTAAACTTAATTACAGATATTAATAAAGACGTTAGACCTGGAGCGAGAATTCGCCCCACCCGGTATTAGGAAGGTTAGTCATATTTACCGATTAATTAATTAATAAAAAACACAAAATTCCGAGCAGAATTCCTTAAAAAAAAAAAGGTCTTCTTTCGACGATGGTTAAATCAGAAGCGATCAAAAACACGGTTTTTTTTTACATAAGTGCCATGATCCACTGTGTACGAACTTATAAAAGACGGTACAGTGTTGCGAAAAAAAGACAGGATTCCGGTGCCCTTCGAGTATTACCGAATTTTCATTTATCAACTATATATGTATTTAGTGAATAACTTACCAACTTTAAATAAACTTTTGAGTGAATTAAGAAACAAAGAAATAATCCCCGAGTGTCATAAAACTACTTTTTGGAGGTTTTTAAAATCTAATGGTTTTATGTTTAAAACAGTGAATAAACGGCAGGCAATTATGGAATCCAGCCGTTTAATAAAGTGAAGGTTCGATTATTTGGAGAGTCTAAGGTCTTCTTCGGCCACGTGATGCGGAACGAAGAAAAATATTGAATTCTTCAACTCGTTATACAGGGTAAAGTATTTGGCAAAAGTGGACCGGGACGCCGTCGTATCTCGTGGTTGAAAAATCTCCGACAATGGTTTGGGATGACCTCAGCGGAGCTGGTTAGCAGAGGAGTCAACAAAACCATGACAGCCTTGATGATCGCCAACATCCGGACCGGATAAGGCACTGAAGAAGAAGAACAAGGTCTTTTAGGAGTGAAGGATAGAACTTGTATTATTTGGATGAAACTTGGTTCGACACCCACGATATAGTTAAAAATTTTTGGACCGATGGAAGTAAAAATTGCGTCATCATGTTACTTCCTCTAGAGGGAACAGAATTTGTATTTAACAGCGTGGGGGAGAATCAGGATGAGTAAAAGATGCTTTATTACTCTCAGCTAAGAGTGTAAGTGATTGTCACTTAGATTATCATCAAGATATGGACAGTACTTTGTTTGAAAAGGGGTTTGAGCAGCTATTACTACCTAAATTAAAAAGAAATAGCGTTATTATTTTGAATAATGCTCCGTATCGTTGAATACTAAAGAGTAAAATTCCAAACACTAATTCAAACAAACACTAATTCAAACAAAGCTGAAATTCAAGAATTTTTATCAAAACATGAAGTATATTTTATGGATTCATACACAAAAAAACAACTTGTAGAACTATTAAAATTAGTTGAATGCCAAAAGATTATGTTATTGACAGGCTACCTGAGAATTATGGTCATAAGGTATTAGGATTACCTCCTTACTGTATATTGAATGCAATAGAATTGTGGTCTCAATTAAAAAATAATGTGGATTCTTACACAAATATATTTTGAGAACACATGAAATACACATAACATGAAATATATTTTGTGGATTCTTACACAAAAAAAAAACAATTTGTAGAACTATTAAAATTAGTTAAATGTGAAAAAAATTAGGATATCGACAGGCTAACGATAATTATGGCTATATAGTATTAAGATTACCTCCTTACTATTGTGTACTGAATCCAATAGAATTGTTGTGGTCTCAATTAAAAAGTAATGTGAGGAAAAATAATAATTCTCCTAAATCATTTACGACTGTTGTAGATTTAATTAACCCCGAATGTAATAATATTACAGCAAATAATTGGAAAAAATGTATAGAGCATGTCAAAAAACTAGAAGAAAAGTACTTACAGTTCCAAACTATTATAAATAGAGTAGTTATAGATTTAAACGATAGCGATGATAGTGATACTGATTTAAATGTAGACGATAGTTAAGTTTAAAACTATTTTTTTGTATTTTTTCACTATGTTAAAAATATATTTTAATATAAATGTATTATTTATATGTATTTTTCGGATAAAATGTATCAATATAAGTCCGATCCTGTATACAACTATACCTAGAAGATTAAATCCGAAATATCTTGCAACGAACAATACGTAGG